TGAGGCGCCAAATCCTATGATTTAGGACTACCCGACGATGGGAGATATCGTCAGCGATTGGGACTCAAAAGATGAGGCATTGATGAACAAGAAAAAAGCAAAAGATGACGAAGAGGAGGAGAAGAGCAGTAAAAGTGAAAAAAGCAAAAATGTGCCAAGTTTATTAGAAGAAGAGAAGAACACCAAAATTTTGATAGAGAGCGAAAAGAAAACAGCGATTGCACCTTCGGAGGAAGAACAAGTTCCCGAAAAGAAAATTTTTCATGAGGAATGGAGGAGGAGAGCCACTTTAACCAGCAGAAGTAAGAGTAAGGAGAGAGAACAAATGAAAACGGAGGAAATAAGAAAGATGGCCGAGGAATTGTTTGGGAAGAAGTTAGAGGAGGAAGACCGACCAAAGAAGTTTGATGATGAAGAAGGGAAGAAGAAGGATGAAGAGGAGAATGTAGAAGCTGAGAAAAGGCAAAAAAGAAAATTGCACGAGGAAAAGAGGGAAGAAAGGGGAGAAAAAGGTGAAAAAATAAAACCTACTGGAAAGGACCGAAAAGAAGAGGTGGAGATGGAGATAAAAGAACCTTTAGAAGTAAGGCCAATTGCGGAGGAGAAGAGGAAGGTAGACTCAGCTATGAGAGACGTACCAGACTCTGTAATTCGAGATTTTGGGATCTTTGAAAGGAGGCCAAAAAAACCGCCCGTATGGCCGAAGAAAAGTGCACCTCTGTCATCACATTTAGAAGGACCAGGAGGAGTTAAGTCGGAAGGTGAAAAACAGAAAAGGGAAGCTTTGAAATCAAGTACTTCAATCGTCAAAAAGACGTCAAGATTATCCTTTCAAAAAGCTCCGGTTGTTAGTCCTGTGAAGCATAGCTCTAGCAGCCCAAGAAGTCCCGCAGCAAGTGCCAATAAGAAAAGCAATGTCAGCAGCCCTGCAAGTCCTGCAAAAAGTACTCATAAAGGGTTTTGCACCAGTAGCTCTGCGAGTCCTGCCAGTGCTCATAGGGGATCAGCCAGTAACCCTGCAAGTCCTGAC